GGTGACTTTTCTTAGCTGCTTGTATAACTATTGCCTGCTCTTGGACCAAATCTACAATAGTGTGAAATTCAAACCATTTTGGAATCTTCTTTCAAATTTTAGCTCTCCTGCAAGGGTCTCCACGTCTTTGCTCACAGTCCAGAGCTTTCCAGTTGCTAGTTTAATTTTGTTATTGTTCTATTTTGTCCAGAGTTTATTGTTGTTATATGCAGGAGTGTGAATCTGTAAAGAACCTTCCTCTTTTGCCATTCTGGAAACCAAAGTCCTGTGTGTGAACACTACTATTTAGCTTGAATGATTATTTATGTTTATGTTATCCATTTTTGCAACTTAGAATAAAGATATATTTAAGTGGTTTTTGATGAAAGTTTTATATGAAACTCGGTTACAGAATATATGTTTTGAACAAAGTGATTTTATGATTAAGATTGCAAATCTATTAATATTTCTTGAATTAAGAGAGAAATCATTTGAAATACATAGTAAAGTTAATTTTATTGAGTTAACCCTTAAATTATATTCAAATTTTCACCTTATAGATATATGAAAAATATTTTTTTAAATGTTAAATTTTATATCTCTTTTAAAAATAATGGGATATATCAGAATCACTGGAAAGGAAATTCCCATTTTAAAATTATAGTTAGATAACAGAAAAAAATTACTATCATTAAAATTTATATATTATTAATAGTGTGAGAAATAAGATGTTTTAAATATAGATGTTTTAAATATAGAGGTTAAATAAATCTTGCTTATCTAACTAAATTTTACATACAAATAAATATATTGGCTAAGCTCTACAAGAAATGAATAATTCATTTTATGGAAATGTTAGTAACACTTTACATTAGAATAATATGAGAAATCTGTTTCTTTTACTGAAATTTTGAGAATCTTGGGATTGGCATCTTTTTCTTTAATGAAAGATTCTATATATTCCAGAATGTTGTTATGACACTATTACAGAAAATCTAATTAAATATAGCATCTAAGGAGGGGTGTGTGTGTGTGTGTGTGTGTGTGTGTGTGTGTGTGTGTGTGTGTAGTCTATGTGTTGGGGGCCATGGTTGACTATTGAACTACCAACTTGACATTAAATAAAATAATTTAACTTGTAAGACAACTCTAAAGTTATGGAGGATTATGGGTTAATACTCAGTAAAATAACAAGACATTAATGATATTTAATATCATGACATATATCAATGTTAAGAATTATATTGTATAAGTGAAAATAGGAAATGAAATACGGTTAAATATAAACCAAGGTAAATATTTTATTTTTTTTTTACCATTTTCTTTAATATATTTTTTAAAATTACATCCAAGTTAGTTAGCATATAGTGCAATAATGATTTCAGGAGTAGATTCCTTAATTCCCCTTAACCATTTATCCCATCCTCCCTCCCACAACCCCTCCAGTAACCCTCTGTATGTTCTCCATATTTAAGAGTCTCTTATGTTTTGTCCCCCTCCCTGTTTTTATATTATTTTTGCTTCCTTTCCCTTATGTTCATCTGTTTTGTATCTTAAAGTACTCATATGAGTGAAGTCATAGGATATTTGTCTTTCTCTGACTAATTTCGCTTAGCATAATATCCTCTAGTTCCATCCATGTAGTTGCAAATGGCAAGATTTCATTCTTTTTGATTGCTGAGTAATACTCCATTGTGTATATATACCACATCTTCTTTATCCAGTCATCCATTGATGGACATTTGGGCTCTTTCCATACTTGGCTATTGTCTATAGTGCTGCTATAAACATTGGGGTGCGTGTGCCCCTTTGAAACAGCATACCTGTATCCCTTAGTTAAATACCTAGTAGTGCAATTGCTGGGTCATAGGGTAGTTCTGTTTTTAATTTTTTGAGGAACCTCCATACTGTTTTCCAGAGTGGCTGCACCAGCTTGCATTCCCACCAACAATGCAAAAGAGATCCTCTTTCTCCACATCCTCGCCAACATCTGTTGTTGCCTAAGTTGTTAACTTTAGCCATTCTGACAGGTCTGAGGCGGTATCTTATTGTGGTTTTGATTTGTATTTCCCTGATGATGAATGATATTGTGCATTTTGTCATGTGTCAGTTGGCCATCTGGATGTCTTCTTTGGAGAAGTGTCTATTCATGTCTTTTGCCCATTTCTTCACTGGATTATTTGTTTTTTGGGTGTTGAGTTTGATAAGTTCTTTATAGATTTTAGATACTAACCTTTTATCTGTCATTTGCAAATATCTTCTCCCATTCCATCAGTTGTCTTTTAGTTTTGCTGATGGTTTCCTTCACTGTGCAGAAGCTTTTTATGTTGATAAGGTCCCAATAGTTCATTTTTTCTTTTGTTTCCCTTGCCTCTAGAGACATGGAGAATAAGAAGTTGCTGCGGCCAAGGTTAAAGAGGTTTTTGTCTGCTTTCTCTTTGAGGATTTTGATGGCTTCCTGTATTTTTAATAAAAATTGAAAATGAAAACAAATTTTTCCTCTTTCTGTATTCAAGAAAAAGAAAAGAAATGAAAAAGAAAAAAATAAAATTGAATAGATGGAGTGGCAAACAGACTGAAATACAATTGAAATAACATCGTTTTCCCCTAGAAGTCAAATTATGAAGCACTTCATAGTCCATAAAGTAAGCAGGCAGAGAGACTTGTGGTGTTCCTGAAGAGCGAGGTTGGCCCAGTTAGGCAGGCATTAGTGTACCAGCTCCATTCTCCACTAGATGGTGCTGCTTAGCTTACTGGGGTGGACTGTTGTGGCACTTGTAGGTGTATATGTGCATGTGTAGGAGGGGTGTCATCCAGCTACCCAGTCTCTAGTATCAGAACTCTGTTCTCCTCGATCAGCAATCATGCACTTGTCCTTTGTCTTCAGCTTCTGCCCACTCCCTGCTTGTACACTGTCTGTGACCAAGTTGTCACATTGCCAGGCGGCACCTCCTTCCTGAGTTTATCTCAGATACGGCTTTATTTCCTGACCCCTCGCTTCTGAGGGACTGCGGCTTTGACCTGCTCAGATCCTCTGGGGGAGGGTATCACTGAGCAATGGCTGGGTGCTAGTTGCACCCAGGAATGTGACATAGATAATGTCACCATTTTCTACTTCCAGCCTACTTTTTTTTCTTTTAATTTTTACTTATTTTTGAAGAAGAGAGAGACACAGACTGAGTGGGGGAGGGGCAAAGAGAGGGAGAGACACAGAATCCCAAGCGGGCTCCAGGCGCTGAGCTGTCAGCCCACAGCCTGACGTGTGGCTTGAAGTCAGGAACCATGAGATCACGACCCAAGCCAAAGTCGGGTGCTCAACCGACTGAGCCACTCAGGTACCCCCAGCATACTTTTAAATTTAAAGAAAAAGGAACAGTTTTGTTGAAATCTATAGGTAACCAAGAACGTATCCATAGCATATATGATTCAAATGATTCTATATAATTACTGCATGCATACTTAAAAAGCACAAATCCAGACTTGTTTTTCACTATCTACTTTAAAATATTTATATTTCTATCTATATTCATGTAACATTTTGGGATGGTATTTATGACATATTTCTAATGAAAGATGAAAAAAATAGCAGACTTTCTCCTGTATTTCATAGCATTAACAAACTGAATACTGCTTTTCTCAACTATAATATGACACTTATACAATAGACTTTGAATAAAACTCAAGTTCAAGCAAAGACCTAGGGAAAGGTATAAACCAACTACTAACAACTTTTACATAATGGCTGGAAATAGCCTACAAGTATTTTCCCTGTTTTTATTTTTCTGTCTATTCTTGTTTGCATGTGTATGCATATGAGTGTGTGTATGTAAAGACTGAGATCAATACACAAGAGTAGATCTGAAAGCACAACGACTAATTTTTACTCAGAGAAAATGAACAAGCTTAAAAAGATACTGCCTCTGCCTTATCCTACACTTCTACCTGAAACAAAACTATGAGCAATAGAAAGAGTCTGATCCAGCTGGGGAAGGCAAAAATCCTCTTTTGTTATATCCCTATCTATGATGTGGAAAATCATTTTTGTCAACATTTCTGGGTCAATTACACCTTTTGCACCAAATGATTTAGCAGTTACTTAATGGGTCTACCGGGCTTTTACTGGGAAGGTTTCCACAGTCTTTAGTAATATCTACTTTTCTTCAAGGTGATTTGATAACCAACAATCTGGGTCATGAATGGTCTAATCTAATACGTGAATGGTCTAATAAAACTCCATACATGTTTCAGCTTAATCTTTCAAAGCAAAACCTCTGCTCTAGAATGACTAATCTTATTATTGGCCACAAAAATGTCCTGCTAATTCTTACCTCTTAGCCTTCCCCTATATTCTCAGTCTATTCAAAATTCACTCATTTCTCAAGGTAATGCTCATTCTTCCTCCTCCATTAAAGCTAGGATCAACTGCCCAAGTCCATGTTTGTTTCCCATTTGTGAAGCATTTTAGAAACACTTAATTGCCAAGAGAATAAAACTGAGAGAGAAATTGGGGAAACCATAAAATTCATTTTACTTGAGGTCTGGAAAGAAGTAGAAATTTGGAAGTCTATGGGAAGGAAGGAGGTTTGCTTACTCCTCTCCCCTTTCTCTTATCCTTAGCTAAGAAAAAGACTATTACCTTTTGGTTGAATTATTAGGCAAGGCTGTTCCACGTTAGAGCTCATTCTCTATACACAGTACTGTACAGTAGCAGTTGGGAGCTTGAATTTGAGAGTCAGACATGGAGTCATGCTCTGCCTATAATAGTTGGAGCTTTGGATAGGTTAAATTCTCTAAACCCCAGGTTCCTTATTGGTAACATAAGACTAATAATAGTGTCTTCCTCATATTGTTGTCAGAATGATAAGATATAAGGCAAACATGCATTTATGGTGTCTGGCACCTAGCAATAACTTAATATTGTTTTATATTCTTCATTTATAATTCATGTTATGTTATTAATACTTTACATTAAAATTAATATTTTCTTAAATAATTTGTCACATAATTTAAAAATACTTTACCTATCTTTTTGGAATGGTTTTCCAGTGCCATGCATCAGTGGACACTCAATCGATATTTAGTGAACTGGAAGGAAAAGGGAAGGGAATGAGAAAATTCATTATCTACTCTGGACAGACATTAGGCTAGATAATTCAGGCACATTATCTCACTCAATTCTTATAATATACTATGTGGTCACATTATCCTATTTGCTTTCATTACAGAGAAGAAAAACAGCTTGGAGACATAATATAGTTTGGCTAATGTCTCAGAACTTGTACAGGGAAAAACTATGGTTAGTTTCCAGAGATTTTAAGTCATTGAAAATTTTTTATTCTTTCTACTTTATCAGTTTTTCTTTTTTAACTGAAATCAATGGACTAATACCACCAAAAATGATGCTTTCTCATGACATTTTTAGACATTATATTTAATATTCCTAGACCTAAAATTACTTTTTGGACGTCTGACTTTTTTATTATGATAAAAAGCTAAAACATAAAATTTCCCTCCTTAACCATTTTTAAGTGCATAGTAGTGTTAACTATATGCATACTGTTGTGTAACAGATGTCTAGAACTTTTTCATCTTGCAAAACTGAAAGTCTATACCTATTGAACAACCACTGGCAACCACCATTCTACTTTATGTTTCTGAGTTCGACCACTCAAGATACATCATGTAATCGAAAACATGCAGTATTTGTCTTTTTGTGATTAGCTTATTTCATTTAGTATATTGTACTTATGTTTCATACATGTTGTAGCATATGACAGGATTTCCTTCTTTTTTAAGACTGGATAATATTCCATTGTATATAACTACCATATTTCCTTTTTCTATTAATCCATCCATGGACATGTAGGTTGTTTCCAGCTCTTGGCTATTGTAAATAATGCTGCAATAAACACGGAGGTGCAAATATCTCTTCAAAATCCTGTTTTCAGTTTTTTTGGATGAATATCAAGATATGGTATTGTAGAATCATATGGCAGTTCTATTTCTAATTTTCAGAGGAATCTCCATACTGTTTTCCATAGCAGCTACACCATTTACATTGCCATCATCAGTGTACAAGAGTTCCCATACCTCCACATACCATCAATACTATTTTTATTTTTTATTTCCTAAAATACCTAAATATTAGTGATGTTGAGTATCTTTTCATATGCTTATTGGCTCATTTGTGTGTGTGTGTGTGTGTGTGTGTGTGTGTGTGTGTGTGTGTATATTGCAGGAAAATGTCTATTTAAATCCTTTACCCATTTTTATATCAGGTTTGTTTGTTTTTTCATTGATTTGATTTAATTTGCTTTTTTTGTTGTTGCTGTTGTTGTTGAGTTGTAGGAATTCCTTATAAATGTGGACTATCAACGCCCTGTCAGATATATAGTTTGAAAAATATATTCTTCCATTACATAGGTTGCCTTTTCACTTGTTGACAAAACTTGTTGATTGTTTCTTTTGCTGTATTGAAATTGTAAAGTTCAACATAGTCCTGTTTGCTAATTTTTTTGCTTTTACTACCTGTGCTGTTGTCATACCCAAGAAATCATTGCCAACTCCAACGTCATGAAGCTTTTCATCTATATTTTCTCCTAGGAGAGCGAGTTTCAGGTGTTATACTTAGGTCTTTAATTAACTTTAATTTTTGTATAGGGTGTTAGGTAAGTCCAACTTCATTTTTTCCCACAGTTGGAATATCCAGTTTCCCCAATACATTTGTTGAAGGTATTATCCTTTCCCCATTATGCAATCTTGGAAATCTAGTTGAAGGTCCTTTGATCATGTATGTGAAGGTTTACTTGGGAACTTTCTTTCTGTTCCATTGGTCTGTGTCTGTCTTTATGCAAGTACCATACTGTTTGGATTACTGTAGCTTTGTAAAATGTTTTGAAATCAGGAATTCCAGCTTTGTTTTTTCTTTCTCAAGATTGTTTTGGCTATTCAAGTTCCTTAAAAATCCATTTGAATCCATTGAGTTTTTCCTATTTCTGGAAGATATTACCATTGGGATTTTGATAGGGAATGCATTGAACCTTTGCTTTGGGTAATATGGACATTTTAACAATGTTAAGTCTTTCAATCCATGCATGAAAGTGGGATGTTTTTCCATTTTTCCATTTATTTATGTCTTTAATTTCTTTCAGCAACATATCTGCGAACTAATTTTACTTCTATTCTGACTTGGATGTCTCTTATTTCTTTTTCTTACCTAATTGCTCAGGCTACACCTTCTAATACTATGTGGAAAGAATGGCAGGGTAGGCATCTTTGCCTTGTTTTTGATCTTGAAGGAAATATTTCAGATTTTCACTGCTGAGTATGATGTTATCTGTTGGCTTTTCATATGTGGACTTTATTATATTGAGGTAATTTCCTTCAACTCCTATTTTAAGTGTTTTTGTCATTACCATGACAGGGTGTTGAATTAGTAAAATATTTTTCTGCATCAGTTGAGACGATCATGTGGATATAGTGTTGTCTTTTATACTGTTAATTTGGTATATTGCAGTGATTTATTTTCATATTTTGTAATTCCCCTGAATTCCAAGAATAAATTCTACTTGGTTGTGATGTATAACCTTTTTAATGTGCTATTAAATTCAACTTTCTAGTTTTTTTTTTTTAGTATTTTTGCACCAATATTCATCAGGGATATTGGTTTTTAGCTTTCTTTCCTAATAGTATCTTTGTTCTTCTCTTTTTTTCTTAGTTTGTTTAGCTAAGGGTCTGTCAATTTTGTTAATATTTTCAGAAAACCAGCTCTTCGTGTGCTGACTCTTTTCTACTGTTTTCTATTCTCTAGTTCATTTATTTCTCCTTGAATCTTTATTATTTCCTTCCTTCTAACTTAGGCGTAGTTTGTTTTTCTAATTCTTTGAAATATAAAATTAGGTTCTTAATTGGGAATATTTCTTCTTTTTTTAGTTACATGTTTATTAATATAAAATTCCTTATTAGTACTGCTTTTGCAATAACCCATGTTTTGTTTATACCATGTTTTTGATTTTATTTGTTTCAAGATGTCTTCTAATTTCCTTGTGATTTCTTTGACCTCTTTGTTGTTCAAGAGTATGTTCTTTAATTTCCACTTCTTTATGTATTTTCCTTCTGCGGTTGATTTCTAGTTTCATTCCATTGATATAATTTTAATATTAAATTTGTTAAATTATTAATATTAGAAAATATTAAAAGACTTGTTTTGTGGCCTAACATATGATCTATCCTGGAGAATGTTCCATGTGTGATTGTTGCTGTTGAATGGCATGTTCTGTATATGTCTGTTAGGTCCTTTTGGTCTACAGTGTTGTTCAAGTTCTCTGTTTCCTTACTGCTTTTCTGTCTGGAGGATCTATCCATTATTGAAAGTAAGGTATTGAAATCCCCTGTTATTATTGTATTGCTTTCTATTTCTTCTTTCAATTTTGTCAGTGTTTGTTTCATATATTTGAGACCTCTAGTGTTAGTTGCATAAATATTTAAATTGTTATAGCATCCTGGTGAATGGAACCTTTTATCATATAATGTCCTTTGTCTCTTGTGACAGTTTCTGACTTAAAGTCTATTTTGTTTGATAAAAGTAAGTTCAACTTGCTCTCTTTTGGTTACCATTTGCATGGATTATCTTTATCCATTCTTTCATTTTTAGTCTATGGGTGTTCTTAAATCTAAAGTGAGTCTTACAAACAGCAGAGTTAGATCTTGTTTTTAAAATCTATTTAGCCACTCTGTATCTTTAGATTGTGGAGTTTAATCCATTTATATTTAAGATAATTACTGATAGGTAAGGATTTACTATTGACATTTTGTTGTTTTCTGTATATTTTATAGCTATTTTGCTTTCTTTTCCTCTCTTATTTTCCTTTGTGTTTCATTGATTTTTTTTGTACTGACATGATTCCTTTTGTGTATCTTCTTTTTTTTTTTTTTTCAACGTTTATTTATTTTTGGGGCAGAGAGAGACAGAGCATGAACGGGGGAGGGGCAGAGAGAGAGGGAGACACAGAATCGAAAACAGGCTCCAGGCTCTGAGCCATCAGCCCAGAGCCTGACGCGGGGCTAGAACTCCCGGACCGTGAGATCGTGACCTGGTTGAAGTCGGACGCTTAACCGACTGCGCCACCCAGGCGCCCCCTTTTGTGTATCTTCTATAGGAATTTGTGTGTGTGTGTGTGTGTTTGTGTGTGTGTGTGTGTGTGGTAATCATGGGGATTACATAAAATATCTTACAATTATAGCAGTCTATTCTAAACTGGTAACAACTTAATTTCAGTTGCACACAAAAACTCTATTCCTTTGCATCCTCCTCATTTTATGTCAGCAATGTCACAAATTAGGTATTTTTTTAAAATTTTGTATCCACTAACCTAGTAATACGGTTGCAGTTATTTTTTATGCTTTTATCTTTTAAATTCTATGCTTGAATTAAAGTGATTTATGGACTACCATTACAGTGTTATAGGATTCTATTTTTATCTACATATTTACCTTTGCCAGAGAGCTTTATACTTTTACATGCTCTCATGTTGCTGTCTAGCATCCTTTCATTTCACTTGAGTGACTCTTTTTAGCATTTCTTTTTTTATATAAATTTTTTTTCAACATTTTTTATTTATTTTTGGGACAGAGAGAGACAGAGCATGAACGGGGGAGGGGCAGAGAGAGAGGGAGACACAGAATCGGAAACAGGCTCCAGGCTCTGAGCCATCAGCCCAGAGCCTGACGCGGGGCTCGAACTCACGGACCGCGAGATCGTGACCTGGCTGAAGTCGGACGCTTAACTGACTGCGCCACCCAGGCGCCCCTCTTTTTAGCATTTCTTATAAGACAAGGGTAGTAATGAAGTCACATAGCTTTAATTTATCTATAAAAGTCTTTATTTCTCCTTCATTTTTGAAAGACAGTTTGCTGGACATACCTGTATCAATTATTTCTCCTGGTTTAGTAATAATTTAAAAAGACAAGACTGTATGGGGTTCAGATGATGGACCAGAATGTTTGTTGCAAGTAAGTGTGCACAGATACTCAATGCAATAATGCTAGTTCTGTAGGGAATGCTAGTTATTTAAATGCATTTAATT